TATGTGTCCTATTGTCTATATGTCCTATTGTCTTCATTATGTCCCATTGTCTTCATAACTTCTTATTGTCTTCATAACTTATTATTGTCTTCATTTGTGTCCTATTGTCTCCATAACTTCTTATTGTCTTCGTACATGTCCTATTGTCTTCATATGTGTCCTATTGACTATTAAATGTCCTATTGTCTTCATTATGTYCCATTGTCTTCATAACTTCTCATTGTCTTCATAACTTATTATTGTCTTCRTACRTGTCCTATTGTCTCCATAACTTCTTAYTGTCTTCRTACATGTCCTGTTGTTCTCCCACATGTCCTGTAGTCTAAGTACTTGTTCTCTGGAGGTAAACTTTAGATCAATAACTTTTGAGTTAGTTTTGATTTTAATCAAACTTTTCTTCCCTCTTTTCTTTTTTACTCACTTTCACTTTCCGTTTAAATGTGTAAGGGTGACAAATACTTTTTTAGGTTAATTGTGCCAATTTTAAAGAAGAGAAACATCTTAATGAGGCAGGAATTAGAAACTTAACTCATTAAACTGAAACAAGAGTTAGTTTTAAAGCCCTGCTGGCTGCAGATGCTGAGTGGAGCATCWGTTTGGTAACAATTAGTCAGAACTGCCAGGTGATACGTGCGCAGAGAGAGGAGGGTAACCACAAAGGCTTTCAAGAAGTCTGACACTCATTTGACAAACTGAAATTGGCAGAAATATTTTAACAAGCTAAAACTCTGGCTTTTGCTTATAGTGTCACAACTGGTTGTTTTTTATTATTATTATTTCAGTTAAAAACTCATGAGACGCTGTGTAATTAAAACAGAGTTTTCTTGAGGGGGAATTCAAAGTTAGTTTGAAGTAAAGTCATTCTTAAAACATATTTGTTGACAGGGGGGTTTATGACTATATAGCTGTGCAGAAACCTTTTATTTACAAATGAATTAACAGACATCAACAAGAGAAGACTTGTCCATCCAGCCTCACATGTTGGAGCCAGAGTCTAACCCAGAGCCGGAGGAGAAGGAAGACAATGAAACTGTAGTTGGTAAGTCCAGACTTTATTTTGAAATTCCATTGCATACTGTGATGTAAAAGTTCAGAAAACGTCATAGAAAAAAAGAGCAAAATATGGCCTAAACTGAATATAAAGACATCTTTGAGGAGAAACTAAATTAAACTTTTCTGTCTCCTAGAAACTCCAAGTACAACAAAATCAATTTAATGGCTAAAAAGGTGGATTTTGCAGGATRTCTCCTTTAATAAGGTGTAAAATTAAATAGTGCCTTTTCCATTCATTATTATTTAGTTTTCAGTCTGACTGATTCATGTTCATATGTTATGTTAATTTTTACCTCATTTTTTCATCCTGCTTGACCTTTGACCTCATCACGTGRCCTTTAACTGCACAGCAGAGTGATAATGAAGATGTTAAGGCATTTGATGATGTGCCTATCTTAAGCTGTTTACAAGCTGACACCAACTTTTACTGCATTTTTTACAACCTATAAGCTTTTCAATCAGTGTCTGGTTGCAGAGCAGGTCTGAGGCTGATTATTTATAACTCCTGTTGGTCCACACTGACTCACTACATTCGTTACAAAACAGCCAGCAGCAGGAGATCTGGGTCCAGAAGCTAATGGTCCAGATTTCAGGATTAAAGACACTGTTGGGAAAACTCACCTGACCTGCTCCTGACTGAGAATAAAAGCTGATTTGGTTTAACAAGGTGATGGCCCCAGGCTCCGACCGGAAGCGTGTTGAGCGGAGCGGAGGAAGTGGCGGCTCAATCAAGCCGGAGGGGGGGTGGACACGCCTGGCTAGCCGTGGCAGCAGGGGTGTCGCTCACACCGTGGCCCCCTCGCCACCCGTGTCAACACTGATGACTTCAGCTGGCGCCCTTGTGAGCTCACCTTGCTGGGAGAGACACAGGAAGTGGCAGTGTGAGGGGGGACGAGTATGTCATACCTGCACTGGAATACACACGTAGCTGCTAATACTTTGGGGTCATATGTTTGTGGAGCAGATCCTCTGTCCAGGCCAGGACCAGGGACCACAAGAAGGACTTTAGGAGCTGAAACTGCTGATTGAAACATTTCCTGTTTCAGACAAATCACATGATTGGTTAGAAGCCCAATTAAATGAATGTTTCAGTACTGAGGCTGTGTATTGGCAAGAATTTGGTTGTTTGATAAGATACAGGAGTCAGGATACGATATATCATGATATATTGCAATACTGTAGCAAGACAATATAAAAGATTCTGATAAAAACAACTCAGTATAAAGAGCCCATCATTGCATGCAGAAAGTCTGATTAAACTCAGTCTATCTTTATGCAGAAGCCCGCGAGGGGACATGAGGGGATTTTTTTATCTTTTGCGTTCCCACGCAATAGTATTGCGTTACCTCGCAATATCTTTGCRTTACCTCACAAAACTTTTTGTTCTCAAACATTTGCATTCCCTCGCAAAATTGTTTTGCATTCCCAGGCAAAAGTTTGTTTTGTATATGAACTGCATTAAATCAGACTTTTATTTTGAAATATCCTGTTACCAAAACAGGATGAGTCTCCAAAAGTTTGTGAAATTGACAATAAAGTTGCGTGGCTGCACTGTGTTAAAATATCGGCATATGACACACTTCCATGCGTGGCTGTGCGATATATTAATTCTGAAGCTGAATTAAAGCAGTAGGCTAACTCACTAATGGTGAACATGTGAGTTTGTTAATAAACCRGCAGGCACAACAGTGATAAAAGACTTTTGCGTGAGAACGCAAAAAAAAAAAAAATCTCCCATGTCCCCTCGCGGGCTCCGTACAGAGGAACACTGAACTGCATTTGTATTTCACCTTTTTTTATCTTACAACAGCCAAATGGCGAGCTGACTGCTGACAACTAGTGGTCGGAGGCTAAATTACAACACAAAAATGAACCTCTGGCATTAAACTTTATATGTCAAGCCTTAATTAAAATTTGATAGTGATTTTGAGAATTGATGCATTATCAAGAAATGAAACATTTTGATATTTCTGTGTATCTATCTGTGTGTGCATTTAAATGCTTGTAAATAAAACAACTTGTACTTTTTTGCAACTGGATAAAAACTGTCTCAGGGTATTTTCCAGACTCACACCTGTGTATTACCCGTCATCTCTCGGAACTTTGAATCCGCTTTAGGATGCTCAGAACCAAACTTCAGATCATTTTCACTTCTTTACATTTCAACAGTTTAGGGGAACGAGCAGCTGAGCTGAGTAAACCCAACGTTTAATTTTCTTATGGGGTTGGAGTATGTGTGGAGGAACTGAAAGTTTTATTTGTCAATCACTCTAAGAGTGAAACCTTCATTGATGC